GTAAAGGTAACTGGAATCTCAATCTAACAGCAGTATGTCAAGCTATTCCTTTGTGTTTCATCTTTGATTGTGTCAACTACAAGCAATGGATGCCAATGTACTATGAAAACTGTGTAGCCTTATCTACTAGTTTTCCTGAGATATATGCTGAATTTTCAGAGGGTAACTTTGAAGTTCATCATGCATCATGAAGTGGAAGTGTTGTTCCTATTGATCAAGCCCTTGAACAGGGGTATAATAAGCCAGCGAAAGGACAAGCAGGAATTATTGGATTCACCGGGAGAAAGGATGCTGTCTGCAAGTGGAACATTATTAAACATGAAAAAATGAAGTATTCTAGACTTCTACAAAATGTATGCTTTATTGACAAAAATGAGGAATACTCATTCCATCATAATTTCTTCACATCAATTTCAGAGGCTGATGAAAAGTGTGTTTCAGTAGCCATGGAATATATATTGAAACATGGCAATCCCTTTGATTTCACAAAATACAAAGAACTAGTTAACATCATTACCAAAATACAACTTGAAAAAATAGTGTTGACATTATCCTGAACTGTCTTTCAATTGGGGAAAAGACAAGAAAATATTTTTACTAATCTCAGTTGTAGGAAAAATCAGTTGGCCTTTTTGTAACAATACCACTCTCTAAAAAAAAGTCAAAAGTTAAAGCAGATTCTTGTTAAATATGACATGACTAAAGAAACTATAAAATTGTTAAGAACCATTGACTATACAAGATTACGTAAGTTTGATATCAAACAATTATTGGAGTCAGAAATAACTCCCACATCGTTCTTCCTAACAAAAAAAAAATCTAAGGAAACCAAACAAGGCTGTACTTGCAACAGAAATTAAGAAACTGATACCAAAAAATAAAATCCTATCATTTTTACCATCTAGTCAGCATAAAAGGATGATAGTCATAGACTTCATGGGATATGCTAGGAAGGTCCCAATTAAAAAAAAGCAGCTTAAGACATTTCTTGATCTTGTACAAAGTGTACAGGGAGCACATTTAAAGCTTTTAGTAAGAATTCTCAGAGGATTGACAGAGTTTTTTTTTTTTTTTTTTTGTTTATTATATCATTTAAAATAGTATAAAAAACCATCATAGTAAGAGTATGGGCATTTTAACTTTTTTTCCAGGATCAACCCTTCCTGAAATGGTCAAATTTTGGACACTCTTCATTTTATATTGCAACAAAATTTCATCATCAACTGGATAAGACAAATGAAGCTTGACACTGTTAATATTCTTTGGGTGTTTGTCAAAAGGAGGGTGAAACCATGTGCATAAGCATTTTTCCAGATTCAAGTACTACATAGTGTTTGTTAAAATGTTTTTCATGAAGAGGTTAACAATAAAATTTTGTTTTATGTGAACCATGGTCATGAAAGTGGAAAACTTTAAAATGTGGCTTGCATCCTCTGATACTGATGTTTTATTTTGACCCCAATATCATTATAATAAGTTTAAAATGTTCAATTTGAAAGAGCTCTGGTTCATTTCAGGTCAATCAAAAACAGTAGTCCCCATCCATGAGTTAGCCGGAAATATTGAATCTGAAGTTATCAAAATTTTGCCAGCAGTCCACTCCCTGGGCTGTGACACAACTAGAAAGTGGGGACAAAAGTTTCAGTATTGAAAGCAGAAAAAATATGAGTTACTGTACTACATTGGAAAAGATATTATCAACAATAAAAGGATAACATATGCTGAAAAAATTCTACCGAAGTTCATCTTATCCAGTGATGTTGACAGTTTTCATGACCTTCGTTATCAAGTTTTTCATTAAAAAAAAAAAAGCAATCTCAATTTGACATTGAAAAACTGCCGTCTACAACAACAGCTATCAAACAGCATATTTTATGTGCCTATTTACAGTGTCACCTGTGTGTTCATTCAGTTTTCACTAAAGAAATAAAATTGGATCCACTTATGTATGGCTTGACATTAGATGAAAACGAAGATTTTCGGCCAACTGTTATTGTTGGACCATATATCCATGAAGAGTTTCCTGTTCCTTGCAATTGCTTGAAATGTGTGAGATCTAATGTTTGCCCCAGTCAAAGAAAGCAAATTGCTTGTTGTAACTTTTGTAAATGTGAAGCACAAGAGTCTTGCTAGAACAGTTATTAGTAGTAAAATTTCCCCTATCAAAGACTTTTACATCATTCAGAGTAGGGGTTAAAAGCCGGCAATCATTATTTGTTGAGGTAAAAATAATAATATTTGCTGTTAATATGATTTTTTTAATAACAGGACACATGACTACAGGAAAATACTAAAAATGTTTAGTTTGTATGTGTTCATAATTTTCTATGCAAATAAAATGAAAATATTTTTTTTTTATATTTCTCACTAAAAAATTTGATATTTTCTTGCATTAATGATATAATTAATTAATTGACCATCAAACATGGCACCTACTTTTTATGAATCTCAGATGGTTTATTTACAATATTTGAAATCAAAATCTCTTAACGTGAAAGTTTACACGGGATCCAACTCAGCTCCTAGGCTATAAGTAGATTTTGCTCCTTTTTCCAAAAATGCAGGCTTTTCTTAGCATCTACGAAATCGTTCAATATGAATGAAAAGACCACGGCAACCACTAGCTTTCTTTTTATCAGCAAATTTTAGGTTAAATTGAAATATCAGAAAATCCAAAACCACCAAACTAAACATTCTGTGAGAATTAATCCACCTTCCCTGAAATCTGATTAGTCAAAATTAACAAATTTTTGTAGAGTAAAGGATGAGTGGAAATTCAAGGCTAAAACAGAAAATTCTCACACATAAAATAACTGGTTTCTTCTTCTTCTTTTCTATTTTCCTAAAGTAGGCACCGAGATTTGGTTTAGGTTTAAATTTGAAATAAATGTCCCAGAGAGGAGTTCTAAACTTATAAGAAAAAGATATGGAACCAAAAGATAAATCATCCAATAACATCAAAACTGATGAATTCTTCAATATCCTTAAAATTTAACCATTGTGAAAAGATTAATCATTAGTCTCATTTTAGACATAAAAAGCAATGATTCTAACCTAATCTATGAAAAGGAAAAAATTTATTTTAATGATCAAAAAAGGCAGCTGAAATTTATCGGAACGTAATGAGAAAATTATTCGAGAATCTTTTAAATTCATAACTTCAGTTATGACTAAATAGAATAATAATAGAGACAATTAAACCAACGCATAGCCTATCTAGATGGCTATTTTTCAGTCAGGGAGATGACAAAACAAGAAATGGGGGATTAATGGAAAGGGACAAAGACAATGGAGCTACAAGGGATAGGGAAGTGAAAGCTAAACGATCGCCTAGCGTCCTAAAGGGACATGGCATAGGCTGAAATGAAGTAAAAATCTTGATCTAAAATCAATGCTTTTCCAATCTGCTGAAATAGTAAGAATTTAGTTTGGTTTGGTTTGGTTTATTTTGTATATTTTTATATACCAACATCTCAATGGGTAATTTAATGCCGACAAGATTTTTAGAATGTGTTCATTTTTGAGATATGTATTCTTGAAAAAGAAGATGAGGAGACAAGAAAAGAGAAGATTCATAGAAACAAAATAGAGGAGAAAAATTTTGTAGGAGATCAACCTTCATTAGAAATTTTTGTTGAGACAGGTAAGAATCAAATGTATTATGGTAATATTTTTGGAAAAAAAAAATGGAAAATTTTTTTGAGACTGTATTTTAAATAGACATCCCGTTTCTTTTAAATAATGTGTATTGAAAAAAGACCGGCCTACGCAAGAATGAGAGAAAACAACATAGACCGGTAGGCATACTGAAAAATAATGCAAAAAAATGAGAAATTTTTTTTTTTTGCATTACGTATGAAAAAAGACAGCGCCACTCAGGATGCAATGAGAGAATGTGAATATTTGACACGAGAGCAGATAGGAGGGATAGAAGAAAAGGATGAGAGAGAGAGATAGTGGGTAGATCAAGGTAACTGGAGATGTCGATTGACATGAGATTTGAATAATTGAGACAGGTAGGTCGCAGGGAAAAAGACAATTTGGAAAAGGAATGAGAGAATGTGAATTGAGACAGGTAGGTATTGAAAAAAAAAGACAGGCTACATTTAAAGTTTCTACAGTGAAAGAATGAGAGAAGGATGTGAAGTCTCGTAGGGCGCTTGAATTCATGATGTCTGGGAACCAGTGAAATCAGCTCAATGAGAGAATTACCATGAACAGGTAGGTATAAAAAAAGACAGAGATCATTAAAAGTAATGAGAGAATATGAATTGAGACAGGTAGGTATGAAAAAAAAGACAGCGTACATCGTAAAGGAATGAGAGAATGTGATTTGAGACAGGTAGGTATGAAAAAAAAAAGACGAAGCGTACATCAATAAAGTAATGAGAGAATGTGAATTGAGACAGGTAGGTATGAAAAAAAAGACAGCGTACATCGTAAAGGAATGAGAGAATGTGATTTGAGACAGGTAGGTATGAAAAAAAAGACAGCGTACATCGTAAAGTAATGAGAGAATGTGAATTGAGACAGGTAGGTATGAAAAAAAAGACAGCGTACATCGTAAAGGAATGAGAGAATGTGAATTGAGACAGGTAGGTATGAAAAAAAGACAGCGTACATCGTAAAGGAATGAGAGAATGTGAATTGAGACAGGCAGGTATGAAAAAAGACATATGTACATCAAAAGGAAATGAGAGAATGTGAATTGAGACAGGTAGGTAAAAAAAAAAGACAGCGATATCGTAAAGGAATGAGAGAATGTGAATTGAGACAGGTAGGTATGAAAAAAAGACAGGCGTTGATATCAAAAAGGAAAGAGGAATGTGATTTAATTGAGACAGGTAGGTAAGGAAAAAGACAGCGACATCGTAAAGGAAATGAGAGAATGTGAATTGAGACAGGTAGGTATGAAAAAAAAAAAGACAGCGACATCGTAAAAGGAATGAGAGAATGAATTGAGACAGGTAGGTATATGAAAAAAAAAGACAGCGTACATATTAAAGAATGAGAGAATGAATTGAGACAGGTAGGTATGAAAAAAAAAAAAAAAAAAGACAGCGTACATCATAAAAAGGAATGAGAGAATGTGATTTGAGACAGGTAGGTATGAAAAAAAAACAGCGACATCGTAAAGTAATGAGAGAATGTTGAATTGAGACAGGTAGGAAATGATGAGAAAAGACAGCGCACATCGTAAAAGGAATGAGAGAATGTGAATTGAGACAGGTAGGTAATGAAAAAAGACAGCGTACATCAGAAGGAATGAGAGAATGTGAATTGAGACAGGTAGGTATGAAAAAAGAAAGACAGCGTATATCATAAAAGGAATGAGAGAATGAATTGAGACAGGTAGGTGTAAAAAAAAACAGCGTATATCGTAAAGGAATGAGAGAATGAATTGAGACAGGTAGGTATGAAAAGAAAGACATGTACATCATAAAGGAATGAGAGAATGTGAAAAGTTGACAGGTAGGTATGAAAAAAGACAGCTTACAAAGACAGCGAAAGAATGAAGAGAATGTGGAATTGAGAGACAGGTATGAAAAAAAAAGACAGCGTAATTCATAAAGGAATGAGAGAATGTGATTTGAGACAGGTAGGTATGAAAAAGACAAAGTGTATATCGTAAAGTAATGAGAGAATGTGAATTGAGACAGGCAGGTATGAAAAAAAAGACAGCGTACATCATAAAGGAATGAGAGAATGTGATTTGAGACAGGTAGGTATGAAAAAAAAGACAGCGTACATCGTAAAGTAATGAGAGAATGTGAATTGAGACAGGTAGGTATGAAAAAAAAAGACAGCGTACATCGTAAAGGAATGAGAGAATGTGATTTGAGACAGGTAGGTATGAAAAAAAGACAGCGACATAAATAGTAATGAGAGAATGTGAATTGAGACAGGTGGGTATGAAAAAAAAAATGAAGAATGGATTTGACATCAAGAAAAGGAATGAGAAGAATGTGATTTGAGACAGGTAGGTATGAAAAAAAAGACAGCGTACATCGAAAGGAATGAGAGAAATGAATTGAGACAGGTAGGTATGAAAAAACAGCGAGCATCAGAAAGGAATGAGAATGTGAATTGAGACAGGTATGAAAAAAGAAAGACAGCGTACATATAAAGGAATGAGAGAATGTGAATTGAGATTGGCAGGTATGAAAAAAAAAGACAAGGATACATCGTAAAGGAATGAGAGAATGTGAATTGAGACAGGCAGGTATGAAAAGAAAGACAGCGTACATCATAAAGGAATGAGAGAATGTGAATTGAGACAGGTAGGTATGAAAAAAAGACAGCGTACATCGTAAAGGAATGAGAGAATGTGAATTGAGACAGGCAGGTATGAAAAGAAAGACAGCGTACATCATAAAGGAATGAGAGAATGTGATTTGAGACAGGTAGGTATGAAAAAAAAGACAGCGTACATCGTAAAGTAATGAGAGAATGTGAATTGAGACAGGTAGGTATGAAAAAAAAAGACAGCGTACATCGTAAAGGAATGAGAGAATGTGAATTGAGACAGGTAGGTATGAAAAAAAAGACAGCGTACATCATAAAGTAATGAGAGAATGTGATTTGAGACAGGTAGGTATGAAAAAAAAGACAGCGTACATCATAAAGGAATGAGAGAATGTGAAAATGATAACATAATAGTGCAGAACAATAAAGTTGTTGAATCAGGAACCAAGAAGAATATATGGAAATAGAAAAATAATGTTAATCAGTAAAACAAATTTTAGAGTTTATAAATGATAGCACTCAGCTGACTCTAGTGATAAAATAGAATAAGGTAAAAAAAATAAAAGACATTGGAAGAATTAGAAAATTAACCACAAAACAAAATAGGAGATTATTAGCATATATGCAGAAAAATATAAAGTAATAAAACATTGAATGAAAAGATGGAAAGCAATGATGGGGTATAAAAGAAAATAAGAGACCAGTATAATTTGTTGATGACTAAAAAAAAAACCAATCGATTTAATTTAAATGAAGAGACAAGGAAATAATAAGGATAAAAGAAGAAAAAAAGTAAATCTGACAATAAGCAATGAGCATAAGAGGATATAATAAAGAAAGCTGAATCCAGAAACAAATAAAGAACTGATTACAGAATAAGGAAGCTAAAAAGCATAAAACTAAAAGTAGCAATATAAATTAGAAAAAATATATGAGTTTAATGTTCGATATTCAAGAAGTGAATAAACTTGCATAGTATGAATTAAAGAATAAGCCAACAAAATTCATTTTAACTATGTGAGATTATTTTTATTAGCAAGGACTTTTTTTAGGATGAAGTACACATTTTATATTATGATTATATTAGAACAGGAAAGAAAAAATGCTATTTGGTTCAGAGCCATTATGTTATATACTATACAGGATGTGGCAGAAATACATCCCAAATACTGGTAAGACATTAGTGGCAATGGTCAGGACAGGTGCATGCTACTCCCTCTGCAAGTATGAGGTATTTTTGTTTCAGGTTTAAAATCAGAGTATAATAACACTTTCTTACTTAATTTAAAAAAAGTCATTTTGATATTGAAAGCTTTTCTTTGGTCAAGAACGAAACTAATCAAAAGAAATAATGAAATGTTGAATGAGAAAGATTAGAGAATAAACGAAAGGATGGAGAGATGAGAGTTAAAACTAAAAGTTGCTACAAGAGAGAGAGAGAAAACACTAAAAGCTAAAGTTTAACTTAAAAAAATAAAGAAAGTGAATAAAATACTATTGTTTGGTGTATGCATTTGCTTTGTTTTTATTTTACTTATACTTTTTAAGATCTTTAACTGATTCAAATATCTCATTTATTCGTTGATTCAGTCTGTCTATTCTTTCCATTCTGGTAGTCACGAGTAGTGCTTATTACTTCTGAACCCCACAAAAGGAGAGGGAGGGTTAGCTTTATTGAGGCCCCTGCAGTGCTTATGAACATTTGTTTTTTCCTACTTACAATTATATACATTACAGATTAAAAACTAAGCACAAGTGAAAAGGATGAAAAATTTTCACAGATTTTGATGTCATTCTGGAGATTTTTGTTTTTTATCCAAACCCGAATATGATACATTATTGTACATAATTATTAGGTTACAATCTGTAGTTTATATGAATACTACTGTATGAAAATTGACATGTTGTAGAGTGCTTCCCCCACCCCCATATCACAGATTAAAGTGGGGTGGGACATAACACAGATTCAGGGGGTCGAGTACCTTTGCACCAGCCCTGCTGACAGGCCACTATTTAGTCCTGTTTATTTGAATAAATACAAATAGCAACAAACTGTAATAAATAGTTAATTCACAAAAAAGGAAAAATGAATTATCTGTATATCTTTCTAAGATGGCTATTTTATTTGACTATGAATATTTGAGAAAGGAGTGCTTTGAATGATATAAGAAAAACCTTAAAATTTAAATGTTAAATGATCCTATCATTAATAGCTTGAAGATAAAAAGTTCTCTCTCTCTCTCTCTTTCTCTCTCACTCTCTCTCTCTCTCTCTCTATATATATATATATATTTGCATCATCAGCAAGTATGTTATGGATAGAGTTTGGTTGGTCTCCATATATATTTAAATTAGACCTAATTGAGCTATGATCAGAGATGTAATGTGAGTGTTCTTGTTAAATCCAATATAATTATTTATAAATTTGGATTGGCCAGGAACACAGCTCCTTAATTAGATCTTGCAGGTGAATTATTTTTGATGATGAAGTTAGCGGTTTAAAAATTTTTTGTGTCGTGATTTAATTTTTGCTGATTTTTGTCAACTTCTTGCCTAAGTTGTTTATTTATACTAAACATCGTCTGTTTCGAAAAAGATTCATTTTGCAAATAGTTGCTAAACATTTGATTTTAAAAAAAAACTCGTAACTGGACAACGAATGAAAAAAATGATAACATTAACATATTTATATATAATTAATGTATATTCTGGCAGCATGGAAGATTGAATTAATTTTTATTAAGCTTTTCGGGATGACCAGAGACAAAAACACCCTTGAAAATGGGTTAGAATTTTTCCCAAAGTGCATGGGACAATAAAAATTATGGGAAATTTTTAATTCCTGCAAAATGGAAAAATGTTAGGATGCTGGAAAAACTTAATAAAAATTAATCTAATCTTCCTTGTTCTATTCAATTAGAATCTTCATACTATGTATATATGTCATGTATATATGGAAAATTTATATATGTCTATGAAAATATATATATATATAAATCAATATATTTCCACTATCGATGGGGTTTGTAAATATATCGGTATTTTCTATCCGCTATATATATATGTGCATGTAAATTTTTGTATGCAAATCCGTATATAAATTATATATATGTATTCGTTATGTATGTATGTATATATATATATTTTATAGATATATATTAACATAATGTATAAATATGTAAAAACTAATGTTACCTTCTTTCTCTCTGTTTAATGATTTATCATGTCCATATATGAATATCCTCAAACTTATATAAATCAATATGTATGATAATATATATATGTATTAATAGGAACTAACCAATATACTGCCATATATATCTGCCGGTGTGGTGTATATGCATACCTATATATAAGTATATGTATATATTGTTTTATATATATATATATATATATGTAAATGTATATATATATATATTTCTATACATGTATGTATGTATTATGTTTGTATATAAATATATATATATATATGTTATATATATATATATTCATGTAAAAGATGCATGAAACATATATATAAATATATATGTATGTATATATATATGTGATTTATAAACAAAATTCAAGTAAAATATATATATCATATGTGATAAGCCTCTAAAGTGGTGCCTTATGTATATAATGAATAGTGATTTGGTCTATATATATATATATATATATATCTATAACGATTGAAGATATATATATAAATATATTATTTTTATACACATGCATTATTCATAATGTAGTCAATATATATTTATATCATGATATCATGGATATGTTTATATTGCTCTATTTGTAATTTTTTTGTATTTATATATGTGACATTACTGGCCATATATCCTGTATATATATGTATATCAACACAATATGTATATATAAATGATATTTATATGTATATATATCTTATATTTTTTCCGGGCAAATTCATTTTTTATATCCTAATGATCATATCTAAAGGTTAATTTAATAAAGAATTAATTGTAACAGAAAATATTGTTGTCATTAGGGGGTGACTTTCAAGACACACATGAATATGCTCCATTTAATAATTTTAAATTTATCCATTCTAGATGTGGAATTTTTGCAAAACAATTGTCCAGATGTTCAAATGGCTAACTGTAAATGTCATAGAAATGCAGAATTGCATTTAATGTAATAATAAAAATAAAAGAACACAGTCAAAATAAAATGTAATAAAATATTGTTGACAGATAGATCATCTTATATATAAAGGCCCGAGAATTTTTGGTTTTGTTTATTATTTGTAATTTATTAATTATATTGCTCCTGTATTAATAAATACATTGAGATCTTTTTATAAATTTAGTTTAATATTTTAATATTACTAGGATCCAGGGTTGCAAGATTATATACCAATATATATATCTATATATATATATATATATATATATATATATATATAAATGTAAATTATCATTGCTTTGTGTATTTCTTATGTATAAAGTATTTTCCTTTATGTGTGTGTGTTTTGTTATTGTGTGTGTGTGTGTGTGTTTGTTAATAGCAACATATCCCCTCCCATCGGTCAGATTTTAATGATTCATAACTCATTCAAAAAGCTAGGAAATGTTAGGTGCAATATTTTTTTTGAACTCAGATTCAGTATGCCAGATTATGTGATATATAAAATATATATTAATATATTATACTAGCCATTATATTTGCTTTTCATGGTTTTAAGGGATTAACTCTTTTTTTTCCTTTTTTTCCAAAATTGCAATTAATTTTTAAATTTTATGGGTATAGAAAATAACAATTATAAGATAAAATTAATACAGTTTAAATTAGTTACATATTCAACATTTGAAGAGTTAGAGAAAACATAATAGCTAATTAAACAAAACCTATATTATGGAATCTATATGAATAAATGCCCAAATTGTCGCTCAATTCTCCCTAAAATTCTGAGATTAAAAAAAAATCTACTCTACTTTATAGTAATTTACACGCAGTATTTACTCAACAACCCCCACCACATAGTCCTGTTGTGACACAAGGTCTTTGGTTTAATGTGGGACCCCAATCCCAAAAACCCATGCTGCAACACAGTTGCGCTGTTTTTTCCCTGAGCCCCTCTCCTGGTGCAAACCATTGATTCGGGCAAATATTCCCAGGGCTGGGC